AATCAGGGTCAATCATTCATCTCAGACTCACTTTAGTTCTACTTTAAAAAAGTTCAAAAAGCAGATATAAACTGCAAAAAGTTCGAGTATAAAAATATAGTCTACTTTAAGAAATAAAGTGCCTTATATAACAGGCACTGTTTTTCGTCTCGTTTAAAATGATAAAAAAACGTTAGTATCGTCAATCATACATGTGGCGTATCAATATATATATATATATATTCAATATATATATATATATATATATAAAGAGATACGTATATATCACGTGGAGCAATCTATACTTTTCTAATTTTTTCTTCAAACGAAGAAACATGCTTCCTATAACGTATCTCTATATATTATATAGGGATGCAACGGTAACGGTTGACAACCGGTCAACCGTTACCGGTCTAACCGGTTTAACGGTTACCGGTAAGAACCGGTAACCGGTAAGGTGCGGTTACCGTTACCGTTGCATCCCTAATATTATATATATTGATACGCCACGTGTATGATCGACGATACTAACTTTTTTTTATCATTTTAAACGAGACGAAAAACAGTGCCTGTTATATAAGGCACTTTATTTCTTAAAGTAGACTATACTTTTATACTCGAACTTTTTGCAGTTTATATCTGCTTTTTGAACTTTTAGTAGAACTTTATCATTAAAATAACCAATTTACCAAGTAAGTAGTACACAGCAGTTGCAGTGAGTGAGAGAATAAGGATATATAAAATTCTTTCTATTTTATTGTCGCACAGTTGCATTTTGTCATTCATTTTGGCTATCAAAAATCGTTCTTTCTCATGAAATGCCCCAAATCTAGGAGATTTCTTAGTGTATAGACTCAGTTAATGTTTGCTGTGTAAAGATCTCAAAAATAAAACTGCACAAAAGTGAGAAATGCATCAAAGGTTGATGTTTTTTACAACAATTGTGAGTATCCTGGGTGTAAATGGTACTGGTCTTGTACAATCGACAAATGAAATTTTCGCTCTTGATAACACATTTTCATTGACAATTAATGAAACACGGAAAGTTGAACTTACATTAGATACTAAAAATGGTTTAGAATTAGAAATGAATGGAACAAGTCATCTAACACTGTCTGGAAATGTTCAAAACCTGGCAGATATTAAACAGAATGGCTCGACACAGTTCGATGGTAAAAATTGTACGATGAGTCGGGCAACACTTGACTTACGAGGTACAAGTACAGCATATATTATTGCGCAAGATGAAATTAATGCCAATGTAAAAGGCGTTTCACATGTATTCTACCGTGGTCCGCTAAGAAAGAAAACAGTTGAAAATATAACATCTACAGTTCAAGAATTTTAAACAGACGCACACCTCAGTTACGCTTTATGTTAACCTTGAGTTGTTTTTCGTGCCAAAATATAAATATATTTTGAAAACTTGTTATCGGTGGGATGAGAGTAGGCGATTTCCAATGGTCCTGACACTTATTTGAGGCGCTGGCTACACAATAGATAAAGAGAAAAACGTTTCGTTCGGACGCATTCTTCAGCTTGATCAACATTTACGTTTTTCTGCTTGAAAAAGAGAAAAGAAAGGCTATCATTTAAGTGGTCAGCAGAATAAATGAAATGGTCAGCAAGCGAAATAGTTGTAAAATCAGTAAAATAAATGAATGGTCAGCAGAATAAATGAATGATCCGTAGATTGAATGAATGATCAGTATTTTATTTAAATGGTCAGTTATTAAAATAATTTGGTTCGCCAATATATTTAAAAATTAGTAAATTAAATGAAAGGGTCAGTATAAAAATCGGAATGTGTTATAAGGTGATTCACTTTTTTTTTCTGTTTTTCTTTCCTTCTGTTACGTCGTACAGATGACAAGTATGACATACATATATGTCTTTTCTTCTTCTTTTTCTTTTCTTCCCATTGGGGGATTTTCCCAATGCGAATTTTGTACTTTCTTTCTCTATGTGTTATTGTTCATATGTATTATATCTAATGGGAATTTTCCGATCACTTTACCTCGATCACCGGTTGGATATTTGCTAAAGATGTGTGATATCCCATCCTATATAAAGCTGATGATTTTGCATAAATAAACAGAGTGTAAAACGATCACTTTCTTATCTGATTATCATCCATCCGACGATATAGAGTTAGTCACCTAATATTGGTGCACTCTGGAAATACTGCCAACGAATGAACAAGATGGACGTGGTACAAGTTGTGGACACTTAATCAAAGTGTCACATCTCGTTTGCACACATGAGAGACCGTGCAAATATGCTAGTTTACTTGAATCATTTTAGTGCATTTCTCTGCTTAACGCCACCCTTAGTATATTCATTTCTTATCTCTTGTTGGATGAGCAAGGTTTTTTAAATTTCCTTGAGTAAATCTAATTTTAGAGCGACTAGTTAAGCGGCCCACCATGTTCATACACTCTTTTTTTTATATGAGGTATTGTTCTGATGTTTCTTTTCGGGAACATAATTTTTGGTCAGCAGAATTAATGAAATGGTCAGCAAAAATGTATAGAAATGGCAGCGAAAATATTGAAATGGTCAGCACTAAAATGGTCAACTTTTTATATATAAGGGTCAGTAAAAAATTCAAATTTGGTCATTGAAAAATTCAAATTTGGTCAGCGAAAAATCCAAATTTATCAGTAAAAATGCAGATTTTATCAGCAGAATAAATAAGTTTTATTCATATAAAGATTAATTTAGTATACGAAAAATAAATTTAAATAAAATTAAAAAAACACAGAGGAAATAAGAATAATTTAAAGAACGAATGGGAGGAAAAAGAAAATGAAAATCCAACTACTGTACTAGCAATGCAGGTTTAGCCTTTGCTGGCCTACCCCGCTTTCTTTTCTCACCGAGCGGCACTGTTTTTGCTGCTGGTGGGGGTTTGCAATATTTCAAACGAATAGCCATACCAACAACGTGTTTGCATATATAATTCTTAAAAAAAGCGGGACAATTGCATTTTGATTTTTTCCAATCGGAATCATTCTCCAATTCCATACACCAAATATCGAATGATTTTTTAAATTGATTAAATGTTGTCCACTTTTTATTTTTATATTTATCTAAATCTGCTTTTGTAATCGATTGTAAATCACGAGCTGGTATGTAATATGTTTTTGAAAAATCATTGGAAACACAGATTACATCCTTTGATAATTTAGCCCATTGATACGATGAAGTCCATAATGATAAAGATATGGTTGGTTCTGTAGCAAATACTTTTGCGTTAATTGATGAAGGATCTCGTTCAACTGACCAATTATTCATAATATTCGAAGCTATTGTCAAAAATCTTGACAAAACGTGACGCTCTCTGAATGTTCCATCATCTTTGATTATTTTGTTGGTTGCCTCTAGGGCGTTGTTTGTACTTGGTGTATAAAGTTGTATACCTTCATACCAACCATCATTTGTTTTGAGTCATTCATTATCAAAATAATTCAAAAAGTCTAATATCGACTGATTTTTCTGTTTGTTGTTCGCATTCCATTTCTTTATAAATAATGTTGATGCTAATTCGAATACTTCTATAGAATTGGATAATTGAAGCATTTCAATATCTTGTACTATTTCCTTTGCAATTTGTTTGTCATCTATATGACAAACACGATTGTCAACCTTTCTTTTCATATGCGCCCAACACATTATTTGATTATAAGAACTATCGAATACATTTGATACCTTTTCATCAATACCGCGACATTTATCATCATGATGATCGTGATCAGCTTCAGTTTTATAGACAGTAACTTTATCACTATCTGCATGATACAGCAGATAAATACTTGCACTACACTGAGGCCCACGACGTTTGGCATTGTTGCATCTATAATAAACTGTTCTTCCATTCTCTGTATCATGTGTATAGTGTTTGGACCATTTATTTCCAATTAATGATTCTGCTTCACCAGGTTTATCAAATGTAGCTTCTTTAATCCAAAATTTTTTTTATTTCTTTTTTTTTATAATTTTTTCGTTTCCATTTACTTCATCATTTTCTTCCACAACCTCCGTCAGATGTTTTGCACGGTCTCTCATGTGTGCAAACGAGATGTGACACTTTGATTAAGTGTCCAAAACTATGTATAAGTCTAATTTTCATCTGTGTATTTTTTTGAAGTGACAGGGCGATACAGGCATCTCAAACTTGCTCTGAAACTAGTCTTATTTTGCCCTGTATGAACAATAGCATGTTACAATAACAGTTATCTTTATTTCAATTTATCTGCTGCGTTTCAGAGTTATGTGCATAGCATATGTGCATTTCTATTTATTCAAAAAAATGGAGAAAACAAAATTACAGTAGATGCAAATCTGGGAATGGATGACATCGATGTCTAAAATTGATTACGGTTCACCATCCTTGACTACAATTTGTGTTTTTTCGTTACTTCCACCCTGATTCTGATTTCCATCACCAATAACAGGAGCACTGTTTTGAATTATACCGCCTTCATTGACTGCTCTAATAATCGTTTGATACAATGATAGCGCGTCAGAATGGGATATCTGTTGTTCTTGTAGCAAGAGATGACGAACTAATTAAAATATGAAAGTTTTAGCTCATGGTTTCATGTAGGACTTAAGATCGACAAGTCCTGATCAGACAAAATCAGAAAATCCTCATTAGTTTGTCTTTATAATGATCCGTCAAATCAAAGTACACTGTTTGAAGTACGTGAATAGCACAACCTATACATTTACAACGATACTTTTCCTCTTTTTATGTATGTCAGAAATCGTTTCACGACGGATGATAGAGGTATTTATCTCGACAAACAGACGTGATAGAGAAAATGACTTTATTAATTGACAAATACAACATAGAGCGGTGGTTTTTCTGAAAAAAATCTACATTACATTATTTTTCTTCGTATGATAACAGAAAAGAAGAATAGAATAATAATTCATTCACACACACATCTATCGAATAATTGACTCTTTTTCACAATGGATATAGTAATGTGGATGGGTGTGTAGATTTTTCGTAATCGATATAGTAATCCTGCAATTTTCGCCTAACTGTTTATAAAATAATACAGATTGAGTTATATAGTGTTATTAGCACTTCAAAATATGCCGCGTTCGCATAGGGCATTGATACTTACTCAGACAGACTTCCTACAAGTGTAATGTTTTTAATTTGAAAAAAAAGAAAAAAAAGAGGATTACAAATTTTTCTTGATTATAAATGCAGTTCATCTACCAAGTACGCGATTGGATGCTATATAGATCGTATATCTGATTTTATATTTTGCATAAAATTTCTTTTCATTATCGTTGGAGAGATATCTTTTGTAAATAAGCACCAACTATAAAAAAAGGCACTGAAAATGCAAACTATGATAATTAAAAACAAGACAAAATTTCTGCACTTGAATAATTTTCAAATGCTAACAAAGCATTCCTTGACTACATAACACTGCTGGAATATTTCGTTCACTTTTTTGACCACAATTACCATTTTTATAACATCGACTTGGACCGGGATTTCTGTTGATTATACATTGTACAACTTCACGATAATCTGGATTATAAATCACATAAATTACTTTCTATCTAGATTTATCGATCTAGATACTTTTCAAAAGATTTGGTTTTTGAGCAGATTTTCTGGAAACTGCTCTCCAGAAAACCGATTTGAGGCTTTTGGAAAATTTTGAAACTGTGCCCATCAGATTTCTTATCATTTTTTACTTAGAAACCTAAATTTTCAGTTTTTTCTAATCAAAAACGGCTGGATTGTTAACAGATCAGACAGCCGGTTTTGAACAAAAAGGCCAAATTTTTAATAAAACTTTAACATATGAAGAACGAAAAGAGATATCGAAAAAATAACTTCTGTATAAAAGACACTTCTGTTAGGCGACTCACGGCGGTGGGAATTAGGGCTCAATCACTTCACAGAAAAAACCAGATAGCTTTGCAAAGTTACCCTCTCCCCCTCCCGTTTCAGATTCCCGCCTAAATTCCAGATTTCGAGATCAGATTTTGAAAGGTAGTGGTCTGTATCCAGTTTTTAACGCTGATTTCGAATAATACCCTCCTGACCGTCTACGATGCTCAGGAGCAGAGATATCGAGGGTTTTTAGAAACAAGCGTTTTTTCTTTAAAAAAAGCTCCTCTCACCGTTCTGGATTTTTTTCTTGGAAAACGTGCACTAAAAAGGCTAAATAGGTGATATTCGAGATCCTTGGCTTGCAGACTATCCAAACATATTCTTTTTAATCAAAATAATTTCACTTGAACTTCAAATTACGTGCACCTTAAGTATCTTGCAACGGTATCAAATGTGAACCTGTAGAAACTGTAAATATTCGAATATTTAACCGGGCTAGAAAATATATTTTTTATTGGGTGGCCCAGAATAAATGACAGTCTCAGTATTTTACTTATGACTTTTTTCCTTTGACCGCTTTGAGTTAATTGTTTTTAGAATATTCGTCATTCAATTCTCTACAAAAACTTTATTGAACATTTTTTATATACCGTATAAATCAAAGAAAACAGATTAAATACCGCGAAGCTTTAATTTTCATTATTTTCTAGCATAAAGAAGAGTTTTTGAATTTTAGTCCTTTATAACTTGTCATATAAGATACGAGAAAATGTGCATTTTGATGTGCTTGAAAAGCTGGATTAAGTGACCATATTTAGAAACTTTGATCGTTATGACTGATTGTGAGAGACTATCGTTTGTTTTATCGACTTTATCAAAAATCATCGGTCTTGAACCCTAGTTTTGGAGCACATGAGAAAACTTTTATAAACCGGTTAAAATCGAACATTTTGAAGTCGGGTTTGTTTCATCGTGCAAGAAAATAATTTTTCTATTACATCCGAACAAAAAAAGTTCTATGGCTACTTTTTCTGTGCCATGGTGAACTATTCAAAATTTCCCTCTTTTCTGGTGATTTTACTAAATCGCTGTCATGTGACAGAAAAAGGCATCTTAAAGCCAACCTATGATAGATGAAAAGAAAGACGGCACTTTGGAGTACCTAATTATACATTTTAATTTTACTTTTTATGCATGATACTGTCTTTAAAATAAATGTTTTTTCGTTGGGGTTTGAGTTAGAAAATAATGAAAACGGAAGCTCCGCAGTATTTAATCCGTTTCCTTTGGTTTATACGGTATATAAAAAATGTTCAGTAAAGTTTTTGGTAGAGAATTGAGTGACGAATATTCTAAAAAAAATTAGCTCAGAGCGGTCAAAGGAAAAAAAGTTATAAGTAAAACACTGAGACTGTCATTTATTCTGGGACAAAATGGGACTTTTCGGGATGCAGATTCGTCTAACCTTGGATTCTATAGTGGAAAATCACTTTTTTCTCATTTCAGAATGCAAAATGACCTTTTTTGCATTTCAGAATGCAACATGTCAGAAAAAGCCAAAATTTCAGGTTGCATTTTTCTGGTCGTTACGTGATCAGGAGATTCATAGTTTTGGGATATATTAAGTGTTCATTAACGATAGTGAGTGCACACATTAATACAAAAAGCTATTGAGACGCGATGGAACAAAACATTGATGATAATAACGAAAGAAATAATAATCTGGATGAAAGTTTCATCCAGATTATATTCCAGATTATCGTGACGTTTCATCGACGTGACGAATGATTTAGGAAATGAAATTCTCTACGATTTGCTAAAAATTGCTTTTGGTTAATTAAATTTGGTGAAATAATGGTTCAATTTATCTACGTTTGAAAAGATGATGAAATATTAAAAACAAGAACAAAAAAGAAAATCAAAAACAGGTCGTAAGATGCATATTTTATTTCGAAACCAGGATGAGTATAGAATAAGTATAGAATTAAATATTCATTTTGTACAAAATTAACAAATACCATCCATCCAGGACACTTTTAAAGGCCCTATCGAATGAGACGGTGTTCCAAAAAGTTGGACGTAAAAGGATAAGTTTTATCAAAAATCACGGTGGAAAAGGCGGCTCCGAGAGCTTTCCAATGCGTTTAAACGTTTTTCATCAAAAACGCGTTGAACGCTCTCTATGCACATGAAAACTGGTTAAAACCTGTCAAAAAATTAATTAAACTCGTTTAAACGTTGGCTGTTCACCACTACCATACGTTTAAATAAAATTACGCTGTTTTTATAGTAGGTATGACGTAGAGTGACATTTTTGTTATATAGAAAAATAATAGTTTCCTATAATAGAACTGCAGCAAATAAGCAATGTTAGACTACATTCACATTGTGCGTCTTTGTTTCTCCCTTCACAGTTTTGGAAGGTCATTTCGATGTATTTCGGCTGAAATGATCAGAATAGCTCCTATTGACAGGTTGAAGTGATCGGAATAATCCCAACTAGGGGTATTCCGATTATTTGATAACTAATCGTTTTATCTTCGTTGAAACTCATTAATTTTAATGAATTTTTCAGAAGTTTTTTACATCAGCAGGTACATAATGACGTGAATTACATACCTTCCCGTCTTTATGATTATCCCATGTAAAACGGCTGCGAAATACTGGAAGAATACGATTTTTCAGTGGTAGCGATCGGAATAATCCCAAACCATTCTACATCTTTCTCACAAAATTCTTTCTCGAAACTAAAAATCGAACGCCTAGCAAAAGTCATTTGGAGTCTATTTGATATTTTAGAATTTGGTGTTGTTTACATTGCCGGAAATGGAAGTGAAGAAGTGTCCAGTTCTACAGTGGTCATTTATGCGTTTGTTTACCTGCAGCAGAGATATTGTGAATGAAGATAACAAACTACAACAACATTTTATAGAAAGAAAAATAAATGAAGTACGTATCGTTTTTTTCCATGTTACAAATGATAGAAAAGAGCCTGACTATGCATCCAGATCCAGACTGGAAAAAACTTCATTCAGTAAAAATCTTATTCTATATTTGAACAACTATTGTTGCATGAACAGGAGTAAGTAAAACCAATTTATGCCCATATTTGCAGCAATTTACAGCTGGTAGCAGTTAGTAAAATGAAGCTCTTCACAAGAGATTATTTCTTTCTTTGTTTTCTAATGGGATTTGCGAATGATTTGTTTCAAAGTCATCGTTTTAAAAACCAATTATTCTACTCCAGGCATATCAAAGCGCTGGTATCCAGGTCATGTTTGTGATCTTAATATTCATAATTATTATTATTATCGACCTATATTCTTGATGTGGTAGACGACGCCCTTACGTTCTTTTATTTGATCAACTATTTTCCAGAAATGGTCACCCAAGTGCCATTAAACATTAACAGCCGATTCGTGAATGAAACCTCACAATATTATTGAATTTCTAAAGAAAATTTAATGGTGCTTTTCTCGAAAAATCGTTTTCTCAACAAGCAAAACTTTCCAGAAGTTAAGAACTTCCATTCAGAGGTAACTTTAAAAGGAAAATACAACAGCCATGTATAAAAAGAATTTTATTTTACAAAGATTTTATCGGCTTTTCACAGCTTTCTTGATTTTTTCACTGTCTGCATTCATGTCGCTTTTTAACAGATCCACATCCCAGCAATCAAATTTCAAGTAAGCGAATTTAATATAAAAAGACAAATCAAATTTCAAGCGACTTTAATATATAAAGACAAAATTAACAAAATGGTTTAATTTAACAAGATTAACAAAAAAAAAGTGGTAAAAAAAACCCTTTGAGTCAATAACTACTACACTACTATAGTTAACATTGTAGTTGTATTTCTAATCCTTTCTTATTGCAGCAAGTCGATCATCCTACAACAGGCAACATACACAAGGTAGAAAAATTATAAAAGTACCCGAATTATTTATACATACAATATCTTTGCGCAGACCATTAATTACTTTCAATAACTCGCGTTCTCTCTCATCCGCGTCATTTGCTTTTTTTTCCCAATACTTTGCTTTTTCACTTTCAATCTGTAGATCGACTTCAAGTGACACACACCTAAGACAATTCTAAATAAACAAAAAATTACAAATGACCGACAAACGGCATTAGTACTAGGTAACGTTTCTTGGGGCTGGACATCATTGACTATAGTAGCAGATTAAGGTCAAAAAAGCACTTTCGAATACAACCTGTGTAGGAGTTACAGCAACAACGCTGATGCCAGTTAGCTTGCACATTCCAAAACAAAAATTTATTGGAAACAGTGGAACTATTACTTCTTTCTTTTTACAGTGAATGTATAATTATTTTTGTCTCTCACTCATGAGCTTAGCTTAGCAGTAAACTGCAAAACGAAATCCACTGTCCTGTGTCAAAATAAATAAATAGTATAAAGTATTAATTGATAATTTTGGCATTTACAAAATCAGCGTTGAATTCTACGTCAGAAAATGTATGATATAACCGTAAGACAACTTTCATTTTTTCGTATTCCAGTTATCTCTATTTCATACACTTTTGACCATCAAAAATTTTCGATCGAAAAAGTCTTAACTCATAAATCATACGTCATACATTTCCTGACGTAGAATTTAAAGCTGATTCTAAAAGTGAAAAAAGTTTTAATTGAAAATAAATACTCAGAGAAAAACGCGAAGAACTCCCGAAACTAGACATATAAATGAGTATTTCGATATTTTTTCCGACAGTATTGGTCTCAGCAAGATTCTGGATATTGCCCGATAATAACTATAAATTATTTTTGAAATTCGAACTGTAAAACCTACGATAAAGCAAAGAAAACGAATTGAGGCAGCATCTCGCATTTTTCACATCTGAAAATGAAGTTATTGTGCATCTAGCGTTTGTTACTGCCTCAAACTTCGCTACCTCGTACGGTTATCTTCCTTTTATATTGAAATGACTCGGCTCCAAAATAACGAAAGTGACACTTAAAGGATGCTCGAAAGGGTGAAAAACCCATAAACCCATTGAAATCTGTTTATCGAACGTGCAGTGCGTAGCAGTGATGAAAAAAGGGAGAAAACTGTAAAGTAAGGGATTTTAACAAGTCTAAAAACGTAATCCAGGTTCTGTACATCAGGATCTGTACATCAACTGAAGAATGAAGAAAAGTCACAAAATAACACTAAGTTTTCTCCTTTCTTTCTTTCACTCTGTGATTTTGTTTTGTTTACTCTCTTTTAAACTTTCATAATCAAACCAGATCAAAAACAGAAATAGACAAATATTTAAGATTTGCTATTGTTTTAAGTAATATGGATAAGTCCTGTAATTTCTGAATATTGATAGAATTTGTAACAGTAAATTTTGTTAAACAGGGCAGTAACAGTGCCTCAGCCGTGATATTAATTTGCTTTTCACTAAGTAATTTGTCAACTTTTATTGTCTTAATTCGTGGTATAGTTGAACTTAATAGAAGCAGAAGATCAACGCTCAGACGAAAGACATAGAGATAGACTAAGCTTGTTGAATAGAATTTTTGTTGTAAGAAGTGAGTTTGATAAGGAAAATCAGATATTAATTTTAAAAATTTAATGATTGAAGTGAAAGTACAGTTTCAATTATTTATCTTTTCACTGAATCGGCTGAATAGAAATTATAGTGAATAATCAATGATGTTAAGTTTGTTAGAAGTGGTAAGGCACTTGTTACATGAGGATAGTTGGCAAGTCCCAGACTGAACAATTGTAAAGAGCGGATTTGTGCGTAAGACGATAAGTAGCGCGATACTTGTTGAGTTGCAAGTTTAGAACAATCTAATTTTAATGGTTTAACATGGTGAGGTCTATAATGGGTTAAAATCTGATTTAAAACGAATTGTGATTCACTTGAGTTTGTGATGAAACATTTTACTTGGACTTTGGCTTGCTGTTGAATGATAGAATTTAAAGCTGAGTTTCGATTGTAATAACGAAGCCATTATCGCCGGATCGGAGCAAGCTATATATCCAAATTGGACATACAGCTTGGTCGGGAAATATATCCAGATTGCGATATGCTTCCACTGCACAATTTGATTTTCGATCATTCTGTCGCTTTGGATGACAACTGAAAAGTTCCATTATCGTCGGAAATCGTATATACACAGCACGCTCTGTATTAAGGAGGGGGGGGGGGGGGGGGGGGGGGGGGGGGGGGGGGGGGGGGGGGGGGGGGGGGGGGGGGGGGGGGGGGGGGGGGGG